TCATGCTTTTCTTGGTTCCTTACAATAGCAGTGAATGACATAGCATTTCCATTATTAGGATCAAGCAAAAGTTTGTCAATTATTCTTTCACCATACTCATGAATATCAAAGGGAGGGTGTGACTCCTGTCAAAAAACTAACACTAATTAATTTGGACAAACCCAATGAGAGAAAATCAAAAGAGGAATGAAACACTGAATTGAAGGGGTAGGTACTTATTCAAAAGTATGTAAAAAAACCTACCTGCTCTTCCAAGTTCTGCTCAATTTTCTGTTTCCAGGATGAAATTCGAGCAGCCAGTTCAGTCTGCTTCTCATTCTCAGCTATGCTTGCAAGTAGAGCATCCTGCATGAAAAAATTTTAAGTTTCTACCAAGCAGCTTTCCACCAACATGCATATAATTACCTTCAGGAAGCACTTTGAGATATGAGCTCTTCAAAAAAGATGGAAAAGAAAGGCAAAAGACTAATGTACAACCATGCAGGCATAACTTGAGAAATAGCTATATGCATATTGCTAAGAATTGGGCAGCTATAATTGTTCTAAAAGAAACAACGGAACCTATTCAAAGTTTTTTCAATAGCATGGTGAACTTCAGATCAAACTATGAGGGGTTTGGGACAGGGGATACAATTAGCAGAATTTAGTGTTATGCGTCTCACCTAGAGTTCAAACTTTAAATCATCAAATTACCATTCAAGATTAACAACAAAATGCTTTTGACTAAAATCTGAACAAATACATGTGCCAACAATGGTGATATTAAATTGGTTAACAGTTCATTAACAAAAAAAAGCTAGAGGGATATGTTCATCTCAGCCAAAAAAAGGGGGGGCAGGGTTGGGCAGGGTGGTTAATGAGGCAGAATTATCCAGATAAAGTGTACATACAAGGTGAGAGCGACACAGATCTTCCAGAGTTTCTTGAGAAATGGGGCGCACATTGTCAAATGCTTCATCAGTTCCAAAATGAGCTACACCATCACCATGCTTAATATATAAAAATCACTTAGTAAGAAAAATTACAAAATCCCACATTGTTATCGGATAAACATTCATGCATAATCTCATTCTAATTTACTAACCTTGTCATGGTGAAAGGAAGCATCTTCCTCCATAGTCATGCTCTCTAGCACATCAAAATCATGTCCAAAATCATGGAACCCACCTTCAGATCTATTTTCCTCAGTGTCATCATTGGGAATTGTAAAATCAATACAAGCTCCACTTCCTTGATCTACAAGTGACTGCCGGAGCTGCAACAGGAGAACAGTTTACACAAACCAACCGTGCAACAGGATCAGCTGAAAATAACTTCTAGAAAAAGTACCTTTTCATATAATGGAGGAGATTGAGACCTCCTTTGGCTATTAAAGGTTTTCTGTTGTGACTCGCAAATTTCTGTCAGCTCAGGACTAACAGTACCATGCAATCTAGCAAGTGGAAAAATGGTAGCTATTGAGGTTGACTTTTTTGCATCGAAGACATTCCTTCTGCAAGCATTCACTGCTAGTGAATAAAAATTAATGCAGAGCATTAGGTGCAGAAGAAAGATGATATGGAGCAAAAGAGAAACAAGAGAAGCAAACAGTTTAACCTCTTCTGAAAGGCTTCACTTTTAAGTTCCCTGGTTCATGAGGGTTCAAAGGGTTCCATGGATTGTTGTCGTCATCTGAATCATCCAAGTTTTCAGGTTCTTGATGTCTATCATCCATATCAAACCCATGATTTATATCTTCATAATTATCATTTGTGGTAGGATGAGGCCCCATGTTACAGTCATTAGCCTCAAAACCACAGTCAATCGTAGGAGAGTGATCAACATTAGCATTTTTATTCTTTCCAAGAGATGACTGATGTGCAGTTGCACCAGAATGTCTAGTGGGAGACAAGAAGCTCCTGCAAGTTGAGCTGCCTCTGTATGCTCCATGTTGTCCTTTATCAACTCTACCCTTCAGATAATCATCAACCCCTACTGCATCACATGGTTCTAATAGAATAAAATCTTGGTAGAGATCATTTGTTGCTAGCTGCAACCACATAAAAATGATGAATTATTAGTATTGCAAATTTAGTCAATACCTCCTGGTACTAAAACTTTAAGCAACTTCAATACCAGGTAAGACTCTAATTCATTGCCATCACCAGCAGTATCTAAGCAATCTCCTTCAAGCACAACCAGATTTGCTGGGGGCTTCACAAAGTGATTCAATAAAGTCTCCTTACTTACTGAACTATCTAAACAGTTCTTTGCTTCCACTGCAATATAAAAGGCAACTTTGGTTGATACATTTACTATAACTTGTTCAAAAAAGAAGTTAATGGTTTAACAGTACCTGGGACATCAACTAAGACCCAAAAGTCATCACTTTCTCCACCAGAAACTGCATGGGAAGCATTTTGTTCGGGCTGTGCTGATGTGCCTTCTGATTGATCTTGTTGTCTGTTTAAAAGATAAGAAAGTAGCAAAAATAAGCACTTCTATGAAATTCATCTATATCATGCTTATAAGCAGATGGCTAATTAATTATAACTCTAATTCTTATACTGTACCATTACAGAACTTTTAATTCAAAGCTACATTTTGGATTCCTCTAGTTATTCCTTTTGTTGAAGTTGTTCACAGAACCAGAAGTTATCCAGATGCAAAGCAAATAACTTGGATTCCAATTTTCTGATAAATTATTGAAGAAGGACAAAGACATCTTCCACCATATGACTTACTGCAAAGATGCAAAACTTGAACTCCCAACCCAGTTCATAACAGACCATAACAACCTAGTTATTTGAACCAATCAAGAGTGCCACCTAGTCAAAATACAAAAGCTAATCTATTCGAGCAGAAACAAGAATCCTAACTTCCCATTGTAGAACAAACAGAACAATTCATTGAAGTCAAGAAAAATTAACAGATGCTAATAAAGCATAAAATTTCCAAATAAGGTATAAAAAACAAAATAAAGGAAAAAAAAAAAATCAAACCTCTGAGAAAGAAACTCCAAAGCATGCAAAACCAAGTTGTAAAGATACTCAACTTTCCGACTATAGACCTGAACTGAGCCCTGAAGCAGCAAAGCAGCTACATTTTCCACCAGAAAAAATAAAAATAAAAAAATAAAAAAAATCACAAACCAACTTAAGATCACTTAAAATGATGAAGTTAAAGTGCAACCTTCAGCAAAATTGACAGGATTGCGACCGTCGTCTTCCACAGAAGCAGTAATTTGGCCGGAACAAATCCTCAAGAGATAATCTTCAAGCTTATTCGCAAGGTCGACATCCCAATTAGCTTCTAAATCTCTTTGTGGCTGCACTATACGAAACCTTTGAGGTTCTTCGGCGCCACCTTCTCCGCCATTGAACCCGACCATCTTCTTCTCTAAAGACCAAAAAAGATTTGCGGTGGCGTTAACTGGTATTCATTGGGGGGAGATTCAGGGTTTGGGGATGAAGATTTGGGCAATTCGGATTCTGATTGGTTCCCAAGAAAATAGAAGAGAAAAAATGGCGGAAAGGGGAAAGCTTTTTAGTTTCAGTGCCGGGAAAAAGGCAGTGGAGTTGGAGACCAGACAGGGGAGCAGGCGGGATCCAGGATGAGGAAGAAAAGGGACTTTCAAAAATTCTTACGGACTCGCGATTTTCCCGCTTGCTTCTCGTTTTCTCTTTTGTCCACAATGGACTCATTGTGGGTTTAGCCTATTGGGCCCCAAAGCTGGGCAATTAAATTAAGAAATCTTTATCACTTCAGGTACGAGATTGATGTGAAATACTGTAATTGTGCTGTAACTGATCTGAACCTCTATCACTTCAACTTTGTTTGTTAGTTTGTTACTTGTTTTTTTATAATAAAAAACTTAAATTAATTAATGTGTTAGTATTTGTAGTATCAGTTAAGAAATTCAAACGCTTGAAAAAAATGCAATTTACCAGCTGCCCAGGTAGCGGTGGTTACCATTGGCCACAACAAAAGAATGCTTAGTTTGTTACTTGTTAGTGCTCTGTTGTGGATTTTTTCACCCCCCCTATATATATTGTTGATGATGAAAAGGCAGCTTACAATGGTTTCACTCAATCACAATGTTTGTTTTTTTGTTTAGACACCTAAACACAATGTTAGGACTCTTTCTATATATATATATATATATATATATATATAATATTGATATTTTTCTATAAAATGATGTTTTGTACCTCATATACCTCTAGGAAGACAGATTTTCCTCATATTTTCAATAAATATGTATTTGAGAAAACTAAAAATAACAAAGTGATGATATTTAAATATTAAGATTATTTGTGAAATTATTCAAATATATTTAATGAATCTTCTTTTTGTGTTAGTTCATTTAGGGATTTAAGTTTTTTTATTATTATTTTTAATATTTTAATTGTCAAATATCTTAATTTTCTGGAGTTTCTATCTATTTTATATTAAGAATGCATTATAACCTCAATGTTGAATTTAAAGCAAATGTATAAATCCATTTCAAATTTTAAGTTTTGCTATCTAAATTTAAAAAATAAAATTAATTTTTTTAAAAGCATCAAAGTGACGTGAGATACACCTTAAATTGTTTGAACAAAAATTAATCTTAAAATAAACAAAAATTTACCCAAAGTATATTAACTTAAAAAGAATGCATTATACAAGTTTCTTAACATGAGATTCAAACATAAAATTTTCTACCTTTAAACGTGTTATTTTAATTTGAATCGAGCCAAAAACTACAAGGATAACAAACTTATTTAATCAAGCCCAAATTTGTGATAAATAAAATTTTTTTATATGTAATAAAAGTGAAAAATAAAATTTAATAAGCAATCACAAACTATGGATCATCAGCACAAATACACACGGCCAAGGGAGGAGACCATAGGCCCACCTCCCCTGCATCCGATTTATCAATAAGCTGTTCAATTCATTTTCATCATTCATCCTGGCGCAAACCGTCTGCCAAAGATTGATTCCTTACAACCCAGGAATCATTCCAGGAACGTAAGGAACTCCAGTCTGAGGGATCCATGAATTACCGCCGAAGAACCTTGCGGCGGTGTATTTCTGTATCGCGTCGGCATTGTACTTCTTGATACCCTTCCATGTAACTCTTTTAGATTGTTCGGCACCAGGTCCCCTGTTATTGTACTCGACGTAGAGCAGAGTGTTGAGGGCGAAGTCACCTGCCCATGGAAGAAATCCTTCAGGGGCGATGATGTCGTCAATTTGGCTTTGCATTATGATGGTTCTGGAGAATGCCTTCCAGGGACGGCCGAGGTATGCCCTGTTCTTGTCCTTGACGGGGATGTACTCTGGATCACCGGAGATGGTACAGTTCTGGAGGACAATGGCAGAGACCTGACGTTTTTCTATCCTACCTTGGGCGGTGACTATGCATTGTTGGTTGGGAAGAGGCTTCCTGACAATGATCTTGCAGTTCTGGAAGAATGATGGTGAGTCACCAAAGATGAAGTCGATGGTGCCGGTGATGGTGCAGTCGCGGTAGAACTGACGGTGGTTGTGGGCGTAGAGGGTGTCTTGGTATCCATCCATCTGGCAGTTGTAAAAAATGGCCTTGTCACCAGACACACGCAGCGCCACAGCTTGGTGCTTTATAGCTCCGGCGGAGTTCTCGAACCCTATATCCTTGGCCATGAAATTGTCTGCGGCTATACCTGAAACACCCAAAACATTTTATTGTTATAAAGGTTGATTTCTGTTTGGAGATTTCAAGTTCGAATTTTGAAATAAGATAAAGAAGGGATTTAGTAAATAAAAAATTGATTTCTATTGTTAATTAACTACATACCAACTGTTGCAGTCTTGTATGTGCCGGTTCCGTCAGCCCAGTTTAGGCTACCGGTGATCTTGGTCTTAGTGGGGCCGTCGCCAAGAAACATGACATTAGTGTGGGACTTAACGAGGTTCACTTGCTCTTCATACACTCCCTGCTTAATATAAATCACAAACGTCTTGTTCCCCTTCTTAGGTATATCTTTTATGGCTTCATTGATGGTTTTATATTTACCACTTCCATCCTTGGCAACTATTACATCAGGTTTTATGGTGGCTGGGTTTGCCGCGAGAAGTCTTCGCTGTCCAGTAGAGACCCATGAGGGCATTCCATCTTCAGCCAGGAGCCTCCTTTCTCCACCACTACCGCCGCCGTTGCTGCTAAAGCCAGGGATACCCAGATTTGCTAGGATGGATGTAAACTCGGTAATCATAGCCAAACCATTGCTTGTAAGCTCCTGAGATGTCTTAAGAATCTCCTTCATCTTGGCACCCGCCTCACCAGTGGTATTATCAAATCCGTCCAGGCAAGTTTGCTGGTAAGTAATGGAGCCACTGAGCCAAACCTTGAGATCTTCCAAATAATCATCCATTGAGGTGAGGTCAAAAGCACCCAATTGATCAAAAGAGTTCTTCAGGTCCTGAATGGAATAATCCATCAACTCCTGACAATTGTCAAGAGCCTGTTTTGCCATCGGATCCTTGGCCACATTCTTCAACGTGGTCGAGTTCGCCATGGCCTTCTTGATCTCATCCATGGCCACCTGAAACCCAACCTTGATTAGCTCTTTAGGGTCGGTGGTGTTTGGAGCGGCAGAATTCATGCTCTTTTCGCATGCATCCTTATAATCAACAGGCTGGCAGATGGCCTTAATCGCCTTGCTGGAAGTGGATATCCCAGAAGGTGAAGCACCTGCAGGTCCTGCACTGGCATGGCTGTTGCTGTTCTTCCCAACACCAATCACTACAGCAACCACCAAGGCAATCAGCAAAACTCCAGACACGCTCATAATAATGATCCTCTTGTTCTTCCCGTCCGAAGACATCTTGAACAAGTATTTTTTTTGGTTTCCGCAATGAATATTTTTCTAATCTTTTTTTCTTATGATTTCTCCCCCCTTTTTCTTTCTTTATTCAAATGCTAATAGAGAGCTACCGGGGCTCTTCTCTATTAGCTTATATCTTTGCCCCTTGGGCTCTGGGTTGGAGAAACTTTCTGGGATTATGGTTTTTATAGAGACAAAATATATGGTTGTTATGTTTCCGACAAAAAAGAAGGGTACTCATGGTTTGCCTTTTCTTTCTCATTCTAAAGATTTGCATTTTGCCTTTTGTCTTTCTGTTGCGAAAACTAATATTGGTCAGATAGGTTGTCCTAATTTCCCCAATAGCAAACTGCTTTGAACCATTTTTAGTTTTTTTTTTTTTTCTCTCTGGTTTCAATCCATTTTTAGATATTGTTACATTACTTTTTTTGGGGGGAGGGGGTTAATTTATATCAATTTGAAAATCAAAACCATTATGTATGATTATTGTTATGTTCCTATATAAAGGTTGCTTCTGTTCCTACTCAGTTTCATATGCGAATGGTAAAAACCAAATATTCTTTTCAACTTTCCCAACTCACGTTCACATCATTTACTAGTTCTTAATCAAATTGAGTTTAAGCTTTCTAGTATTTGGGTTTGGTTCAGCTCATTGTGCCCTCTAACAATATTCATCCAAAAAACAGAAAACAGGCAGTTTTTGGTAAGCTCCATATTTTTTCTGTTCAATTCCCATATAGACAAAACAATGGGGATGGATCATTTATAGTCTATAGAGACTTTAAGACTGGTGCTTGTTTGCCGAACTGAGTGGCACCACCTTGTAACTCAAGAAAGGGCCCAGAGGTGGTTGGACCATGGCTAGGACAGCTTGGTTGTGCCAAAGCAGGGTGATTATATGGGTTACCCTGTCCAAGTTGTGGGTGGCTGAAGTGGCTTAAGCGAAGGCTTGGGTTAGTTGGGCCCTGTGGTGGAGGATACTGCATAAGGCTGGGTTTAACAGAGCAGCGAACACTTCCCGCTCTCAACAGTGGAAGGAAAACAGACCTGTGTACCTTCAGCCCACTATGCCAGATGGGCCTTGGTCAGCTGGACTAACACCTTTTATTTTTTTTCCTCTCTTTTCCACTAAAAAAATTACATAGTGGCCCACCACCATGCCAGGTGGGCCTTGCTCAGCTGGACTATACCACCTTTTATTTTTTCCCTCTCTTTTCCACTAAAAAAGTTACATGGTTATTATTTACTTGGGGTAATTTGAAAGTAATGTCTTTAATGCCTCCAATTTTATTCTTAATATAAATTATTTGAAAATTGATGAGCTAATAAATTTGGGATTCAAATTAAACAAAAAAAGAAGAAGAAGAAAATGATTATTTGTGCACCTTTGTAGTTAGCTATATTAATATGGTGTTCTTACCATAAATTTAGTCCTCACACTCACAATTCGGGAAATAATGTAGCTCAGTTAGTTATATACTTTCCAATTTACAGCTTTCTTGAGTCAGGTTAAAGAAAATTTAAGATATTTAGAGAAACTAGATGCAAATTTAGTGGAGTGGATTATTCCTTCTTATCTCTCTTCTTATCTCATCATTGTCAAAAATATATATATATATATATATATATTATTATTCTTTTTTTTATAGTATGGTTAAATAATAAATTACATAATAAAAAATAACATTTATCATTCATCTTAAGATTTAAATTGTATATCTCCAACATGGAGATAACCTTATTATTATTCTCTTTGACAATACACGAGCAACCCTTGTGTTTTTGATCATATAGATCTAATACAACAATCATAAAATCTCCGTTGTATGGATTATTCTTCATCCGTTACCCATTGTAACTGAAGGAAATGAAAATTAATGTTCTCCTTTTCTCATTTTCTTTGTGAAATAGTTCAAAGCTTAGCTTTCTGTAGTTCTAGCTTAGCAATGGTTCCTAAATGCACTTCATCAGGTCCATCTGCGATTCTCAATGTTCTTGCTGTGGCCCAGAGATGTGCCAGAACAGTGTCTGATGATAGCCCGGCTGCTCCGTGTACTTGCATTGCCATGTCAAGCACCTTCAGTGCCATGTTTGGAGCTGCTACCTGCGAAACCCAGAATACCGAGTGAAAGAGAGGTAATATTGCATCTAAATTAGATAGATCAAGATTTTGACAGTGGTTATATCAGCAAACAACGACAATTACCTTGGCCATTGCAATGGTTCCACGGGCTTTCTTATTTCCAAGGCGATCAAGCTGATCGGCTGCTTCAAGAACTAACAACCTGGTTCTCTCCAGCTCAATGCGACACTGAATGAGAGCCAAAATTACACGAGACAAGTGAAGCTAATCAATGATGAGTATACAAAACATGATGGGATGTATTTAAACAAAGTCAATTCAATAACCAACTTTTCTCTTATAACAACTCCCTAAGAAGGTTGTGATTCCAATGAGAAAACAATTCATTTGTAAGAGGGTCTTAATCAAACTTACCTTTGCAAGATCTGAAAGGAATGAACCATGCTCAGCAATCAATTTTCCAAAAGCTTTCCTACTAAGTGCCCTTTGGGCCATTAACTGCATGCCACGCTCAGCGGCACCAATTAATCTCATGCAGTGGTGCAATCTTCCTGGTCCTAGTCTTCCCTGTAAGGATAAAACAACACCAAGGTCAAATATCTAAGATTATACTCTTGCAATGAAAAGCCTCATTGCCAATGCAAATTAACTTTCATCAAGTGAGATCAGTATTCATGTTTGCTAAAAAAGAAAAAAGAAGTCACATATAATTATCACATAAATAGACACTAGCTAAATTTCAAGATGAGAATAATTAATGTTTTCAAGAAATTTCGTGACATTCAGTAACAAGCATGTATATTAGATACGAAGGAAAAGTAAATAACTTTGAACTCAAATGATAGATAACACATGCATGCCTCCAACATCATATTGTCTTTTCTTCTTCGTTTTTTCTTTCTATCTTGAAATGTCAATGAAGGTAAGTTAAAATTGAGAATGGAAATTGTACAACTGTCATAACACATTAGGTTACCCAAGAAGGCCCATTAAGACCATACCTGGGCAATCTCAAATCCACGCCCTTCTCCCAGTAGTATGTTTCTTGCTGGAACACAAACATTCTCAAATGAAACTTCTGCGTGCCCATGAGGTGCATCATCAAAGCCAAATACTGTGAGTGGCCTCTTAATGGATACACCTGGAGTTTGGATATCCACTAAGATCATGGATTGCTGCTTGTGCTTAGGGGCCGTGAAGTCTGTTTTTCCCTGGATAGTGTTCAGATCACCATCTGTAATTAATACAAGCAAATAAAAGAATTTATTCCTGCTATTCAAGTATAGAACTCACCATGACAATAAGAAGTCGGCATCTTGGATCCATTGCTCCACTTGTCCACCACTTCTTCCCATTGATGATATACGAATCCCCTTGTCTGTAATATTGGCAAGATAAACAGAAACCCCAGTAAGCTGTACTTATCAGAAACAACTGTTGCCTTATATTTAAAGAATTGGGGAAAACAATAAAATACAATACTATAAATTCACTTTCATCAGTATCTATTCTGATGGAAAGGATGCCACAACCCGGAGGATAAGGTGAACTATGTTTTGTCCTGAATAAAGATTCCTGGATTTGATTAAAAAAGCAGATGATAAATGTACCTTTTAATAGAACACTCAATATTAGTTGCATCAGAGGATGCAACTTGGGGTTCTGTCATTGCAAATCCAGACCGGATTTTCCCCTCAAGCAATGGAATAAGCCACTCATGGAGTTGCTCTTTGTTCCCATAGCGCAACAATACCTAATGTCCATATAAATTAACAAATAAAAATGAAACTTGGTAATAAACCCTAAAGAAAATAAGAGAGCAATATTAATATGGTGCATTCTAGAATGTTCTGAAATGCAGATTTCAAATAGCTGCAACCTGTTACTGACTTGAAGAAGTTGAATATATTTAGGAACTAATGTAGCCTATTTACCTCAGTTTTCTATCAACTTACTGTCACAATAAATAACCTTTTTTCTCTATCAGATCATGTTACAACTGAAAACCAACTTTTCAGGATCAGAAAAAGGGTAGTCACAGTGATTAGCTGTCAGAGATGCAACAAGATCATGGAAAATTTACCTCCATATTCCCAGTATCAGGTGCACCACAGTTAAACACCTGAGGAGCCCAAATAGAGCGACCCATAATCTCACATAGGTATCCATATTCAAGGTTTGAAAGGCCTGCACCTAGCAGATGATCTTGTGTATTGTTAAGCAGAGCATCTTTACCCCCATTGAAAATAAGTTTTTTTGCCCTAGAAGCACTGTCAAACTGCATAAAATACAATTTCACATAACTATTGCTGTGAACAAAAACGTTAAAGGGTGAAGATTTGAGATACATACAGGTATCCACAAGTTCCATAAACCTTCTTTCTTTGCAAGTTCCTTCAGCCTCTCCTCCTCTGGGTGAACAGTCCAACGTAAGTCAGAAAGGGCAAGTTTGTAGAACTCATTTTCCTTGGGGTAAATGTGATCTTCCATGAACTTGATCAATCTGTTTCTCAATTCCATGACCCTTTTACTAGGAACAAATCTCCCACTGTCCTCTGAAAGGCTTTGAATATCATCCCGATTCCCATATTGTTTTCTATCTTGCGCAACTACATGGTTGTGGACTTACAGTTAAAAGAATGAAAGCACCTTGGATAATGGCTTGGAGAAAATAAAGTTAAAACCAACTTGAAGTGGCAGAATACATAGCATTGTGATACTTGCTAGACCAAGCTTTTAAAAGTTAACCTAAGTAATGTCATATTCCTGTGTATCAATTTTACAGAAAAATATAGAAGTGTTTATAAGTTCTACAGAATAAATTCATAAAATATTCTCAAAATACTAGCTGTGCGTCTGGACGTCAAATTTAGGATACATATCTCTATTTAGTTTTATTTTCTTTTTGAAAGAAGAATATATAATTTTTTTTTAAAATAATTAAATCAATGCTGAAGGAAACTGCTAAATGGTCTATAGCTACCAGGGGGAGGACGCTCAGGAAGCACGGAATCTCGAGCAATAAAAGCCAACGCAATTTCTATGAGACCATTAGCTTGATTCCCTGCATGTCGTGCACGTGCACCTCCTGAAGCATTACCCTGGATTAATAAGATGATCAAAGAATTTAATCAACATATTGTCCAAGCATGGCTAGCACTTTTAGCATATGGTTCAAATAAAATATCAAACTCCTTTTCTTCAAGGAATACCATAATCCATCTGTTATATACTCCTATGTAGATTGATGCTCCACGGAAGAAAGAAAAGGCAACATAGAATTTCCACTCAGCAACCGGCCACCTTTTTCCCTACATTACAACATTTTCCAGCATAAGCAGGCCTTAGAGAAAAACTAAGTAGATAACAGTTTCTGACATGCTATTTATATCAATTAATGAGAGCTTAAGATGAAAAGCAGCAGCTTCACTATATAACAAGTGTAAGTGGTGACAAAACTGCTTGAAAAAAGGTACATAGGCAAATTGAAATCACAGTCAAGATAGTGGGTGGAACTTACAGCTGCAGCACAGTATTCTGCCAGATATTCAGCCTGTGATGGAATCCCTTCTGGAATTCCAGCCACCTCAAGACCTTTACCCAGCTGATCTTTCTCAAGACTAATTTCAGTTATGTATGGCTGCCAATAGAGTGGGAGTGTAGTTAGCAATCACCAAACAAACACCAAGACTAATTTAACATTACTAAGCTGCTGGATGAAGCAAAAAACATAAGAAACCAGGCATTTGCACTGTTAAGTGCAGCAAAAAACATGGGAAAAATTATTTAAAACACCAAATCAGAAGTTGGGAAATAGCTACGTACCAAACAGTTATATGCAACATCACACATTTGGTTTCCAAGAGTAGACAATTCCCAGTCTAGAATACCAACCACTCGATCCTGCACATTGACAACATCTCACAGATTATCTAAGCTGTTAAAATATACTTAGAGCATAAAGGGCTTAGATAAAATTAGAAATCAACCTTAAGTCAAAATATTGATGACTGAACACTTTCTAAAATGATTCACTGGAACATGACTGACTATAATCAGTGATCAGATAGTGTTGCATTCAGATCTTTGGAATAAAAATACATACACAACTTCAAATTAATTACGCTTTTGAAATACCATACCTCAGTGGGATGAAATACAAGATTATCAATGCGAAAATCTCCATGAACTAGGCCTGACGATGCTCCAGATGAATCTTCAGAAGGAATGTTATTCCGTAACCAATTAACCAGTTCAAACATCTTTGGATTTCTCTCAGGTTTTCCATCACTAGTGGAAGCAAGGAATTGTCTAAACCACCTCTCTATCTAGAATCAGAAAATATTCATAAGTGACGCTGAATTGATATTTGAATTCATGAATCTTAATTTCTGACCAAGAGCTCCACAATGAAGAGCCTTAATATGCCCTTGAAGCAGCAAGCAGCCCAAAGCATTACAGCTTCTCGTCACATAAGTAAGCTTCATGTTTTGTGCACCAAATAAACACTTTATTCAATTAAATGAGAGAAAGTCCACATGAAAGCACTAGATTAGCAAAGGTTCTCCCTAAAGGACAAAAAGAGAAAAGAATCAAGCACCTGACGTTTACAATAGTTCTCTCTGCGCCCATAGTTTCCCAAACCAACAGCATCCACATTTGCAGAATGAAGAGAAGCTAACGCCTTTGCAGTTGCTCGATATATTGCCCTTCTCCTCTCTGGTGCTACACCCTTATCAAACCAATAACTAGTTCAATTCACTTCACAACCTCAAAAGTATAACCAACTAACTTCACATTAATAGCCTTAAAACAATTGAATTTCCTACCGGTAGCTTGGGGTCTAAAAATATCCGTCCCTCCAAGTACTCCATGATGTAAAATGGAGTTCCAATCACACTGGAATCACCACACAAACATATAGCCCTCGGAACTGGCACCTCTGTATGATCACCTAATGCCCGGAGAACCTGCTCAAAAAAATTTAACAAATGAACTTTCATGGAAGTAAACATTTCCTACCATCTTCTTTTGAACAAAATTGACTCATTTGACCAACTTTTCATTTTCAATTCTTTTCCATGTTTTCCATACAATTTCTAAGCTCCCAAACATGCAAGTGGATACAAAGGACGGAAACTTTTAAATTGAAGGATTCAGATTCACCTGAAACTCTCTTTCCACGGCGTGAGCAGACTGAAGCAGTTTCCCCGGCGGCTTCTTCCTCAAAACGTAGCGTTTCACCGACACTCCTGTCCCCACTTCAATCAAATACGTTGGATTCGATTGTCCATGTCCGAACTGAATTTCATAAATGACAAAAAAAATCAAATTCAAAGAAAAAAAAAAGGGGGGGATCCAGATATAGCTGAATACTAGCAAACAGTACCGTGAATGCATATATTATATACCTGAGAAACGTTGAAATTGGAAGGATGAGGAGGAAAATCGGGGATATTAGCGGCGGCGTAGTGGAACAAGGCCTTGAGATCGAGCTTGTGAGCTTCCGGTACTTCCTGGACCAGATCACCGGTACGGCTTGCCATTGTATCTCCGATTTAACTTTTCCAAGAAATTAGAGTTGAATCACAGCCCCCGAAAGTCAAACTTGAAGGAAGAAGATGATAATTATCATTCTGTTCTTTTTTGGCTAAATGATGAATACAGGAGATAATGGGATACTGTTAAGATAGAGGCTAGGAGAAATCCTACTTCTGCTTGTCCTTTTATCTTTGCAGACCTCATCAAACTCTGCTAGCAAGATGTTTTGACTTTTAATGAAAAAAGGGTTTTTTTAGAATTATAGTATATAGGGGAAAGGATTAGAAATTTCCTAAAATTGTAAGAGGGTGTTTGGCATTTTGCTTTAAAAGCAAAATCTTTTTGCCTAAAATTCAAAATTTTGTTAGTAAAAAATTTCAAATTTAAATTTTTTAAATGAATTATAAGTAATTTTTTTTAAATTGCATGTAAATATTTTCAAAACTTATTTAAATTTATTCAAAATTTTAATTTTAAATTTTTTTATTAGAATTTTAGAATTATACAAAAAAAACTTCTTTTTAAAGAAGTATTGTATTTTAAGCTTTACCAAAACACAATTAAAGTCTTTTTGATATTTTTAATTAAACAAATTAATCTAATATATGTCTTCAACCACGCCTTTAACCACAAGTCAAGGATGTATTACATGAATTGACTTCAATTAATAAATATTAGGAAGATGATTCAAAATCATTTTTTATATT